CGGCTCCACAAAACACATCGAGTGACAAAAATGATATCCGATGCAATTGCCTATTTGAATTATACTACGTGTATCTTATGTTTAGGGAAATGTTATGGGTCGTCGTATTTATTTCTGGAGATGAAGCGTCTATTAGAAGCCACCCTTATGGGCCTCCAGCGTCTATTTGACGAAATTCGGTAAGCAGAAGAGATCACCAAGAATTTGATACCAAACAATGTAATATAACAAATAACTTACTGTGTAAGGATGTAGACTATTTAAATTTAAATGCAATCATAAGAAAGTTGAATGTGATTTATAGATAAAATGACTCAGTTGTGTTTATTGAAACAGTAGCTGTTCCTATAGTTCAATGTAATTTATAGATTGGTCACTATATTCAAACTCGGCATAAACTTATATGCACATTCTGGTTCAATGAATCCAAGGGAAGATTATTTTGACATTGGAGACTATTTAAAATATGTCATTGGCCACGATATATTTGATTTGTGACGTTAATCTGAAAACGACATTTGTCTGAGAGTTCGCCGATTGTAAATGTTGATTGATTTTTTAATTTCTATTGACAGTTCGATGATTTTGCGATATTATCAATCTCTTACAACTAAATAAAGGCATCGCGACCTAACACCATAAGTTAAAGTACCTTTCAGTTGCAAAAAAATACTTTTATTCCGCAGCAAAGAAAACATAATCATGTAACTATCGTCCTGTCTCGGTTAAAGTTGTGTCTTAGTGGCTAAGGGAATTCGATAACTGGACAATTCCCACTGTCTAAATGGTGACGCGAGTGAGTGCATTGTGTTTAAAGTTATTTCTTAATGTAGATCCGAACCAACGATCATAGAATTCTGGCACATCGAACAGACGAACCTTTGCACAGCATTCTGTTTATCAGGTAGTAGTCGACAAATACACGCGTTCAGATTTTGTTTGTTTGTTTGTTTGTTGTTTAATGCCGCACTCAGCAATATTCCAGCTATATGACGGCGGTCTGTAAATAATCGAGTCTGGGCCAGACAATCCAGTGATTAATATCATCGGACCACGCAATTGGGATCGATGAGCTGCATCAACCAAGTCAGCGAGCCTGACCACCCGATCCCGTTAGTCGCCTCTTACGACAAGCATAGTCGCCTTTTATGGCAAGCATGGGTTGCTGTAGATCTATTCTACCCCGGATCTTCACGAGTCACGCGTTAAGAACGAACGAAACGAGAAAAGGCTAAACCCCAAGCTTAAAGAAAAGAAAGCGAAATAAACTAAAACATTGTCTGTGCTGTACACACGTCGCGAAAAAAACTTTTGTCATTGGTGTCCAATGCGGTACAATTTGTTATAAAGGGCTGAGTCCCTTAGCAGCCCTGGAATCTGATGATCGTTGGTTCCAAATTTGCATTAATAAAATTATCCGTGTTGTGTTAGCACAGCAACCGTTGCCGTGGGATTCACTAATAGATTAAATGACAAAACACATACAGCACTTTGGTCTTCCCCCTCCCGTGTAGCTGGCCCACGGGGATATAACTGTATAATGTTCCCTAAATGATCCTCATTTAGACCGGATTGATTTTACAAGTATTCCCTCGCGTCGAAAAGATTTAACAAGAGTTTCCACTGACTTAGAAGATGAACAATCAACATACAGCTACCCTTGACAAGGGGTCGTGCGGCAACACACAAGTCATGCCCTACATGATCTTACCAATATGCACCAAAGTACGTAAATACACTTATAAGCAAACAAGTCTTTAAATAGTTTGCCTTCAAATAAGCTACAAAACGTCAAAGCTTTAGAATAACCATTTTCGATTATCCGCTGAAACATATTTCATTGGGCGTAAAAGGTAAAATAGCGGTGAAAATTTTATGAATGATCACTGAAAATCAGTGATGACACCAGGTGTTAAGGCATATGTGGTCCAGATAAAACGAGTCATATGTCACTTAACGAATGGTTACCAGTCCACATTCGCAGACCACTTCGTGTATTGTCACCTGGTTTTATACATGTTCTTAATAGTGGATTTAACACATCCCGTGCCTCTGTGCAAAATAAGATTAGTGTCCAGTTATAGACATATTTCACGTCTAGACTGTGCTGGTAAAAAGGTGCCGATAATTTCCTTGACACATATTTCTACTTACTGTCTGGACAATGGATTGCTATATCAGAGAAGTGCACGGCTTCCAAGTTGGTAAAAAGGTCATTTCACTTTCCATCAGAAGAAACATACGGGCAATGATCTAAGGTGTCACCTATAGTAGTACTAAATTTACTTCCAACCACAAAAGCATATATCTTATTGAATAGTTAGAAATATACAAAAAATATTTATAAGGATATCCTTTACTGATCAAAGTCACTCACTCACTCTAAATATCGATCGCCTTCGTGGTCTACTGGGTACAACGTCTGCCCAGAGAGCGGAAGGTCTGTGGTTCGATCCCCGGCGCCCCGGCCCTCGCCGCTTCATACCAAGAGATGTTAAAAGATGGCAGGAAACAAGGACTGGTAGGCGCAGGATCAGTATACTGTATCTGAGTGTGGTATCTATATATGTAAAATTGCGGCATTGTATCTCTGTGGGCTGGCACTATGAAACCTGACAAGTACGCACACCTGCTCGCGCATATGCGTACGCACGCACGCACGCACGCACGCACACACACAGAGAAACACTCACTCACACGCACAAACATAACACACACACACACACCACTGTATAAGTGCAATAAGCTTGAACATTGAACATCAGCAAGGCTTCGTTCAACGTACACGCACATTTAATATAACTTCGAAATGGAAACTGTTAACATCGGGTATCTATCATGGTTCTGTATTCAGTCCGCTTGGCTCCAAATGAGAGCGATGAATTGGAAGATAAAATCAAACTCGGGAATAGTCTATTAAATGTCAATACGGCACACGGCAATGAATATCCTTTACCCAACAACATCTGTTGTTTTTTCTTTTTATTCCTATCTCTGAAAAAAGTTGTTTTAGAAACTATCAGGTTGTTATGTGAACAAGATGGACGGAAGGGGGCACAACGGTAGGAGGGACAGCGCAAACACGTACTGCACATGCTACACAGTATACGTCGTTTTTGACTGACAAGGTGCGCTATTCAGCTGATGTTGGATACTATTATTCTGTCAGATTAAAATAAATAAATGCAGCAAAGAGGGTTTGGGTGACCCTGGCACAGTCAGGCTGGTTAGGCTCATCATCAGCTCAGGGTCCTTGCCCCCTCTACACGCAGCCCAGACAGCGAAGGGGACTTCTCCCAGGAAGTGCTGCCAAGTCAAACCCAGCCAGAACTTTTCGGATAATATAAAGACTCCCCAACACTGCAGCCTTCTGCATTACCCAATTGCCAGAAGAGATGTATTCCTGGTGGCAAACCCGGGCACTCTCCCAATGTCAGTCAACAGATTGGGAGGTACCCAACCTAAGGCCCAGTAAGCCGACAGCCTCCCGCCTTACCAAACTGCCAGAAGGGCTGTATTCTTGGCAACAAACAGGGGTACTCTCCCAATATCAATCAACAGATATGGAGGTGCCAAACCTAAGGCACCGAGAACAATGGTGAGTCGGACAACTTGGTACTTGGGATGCAAGCGAGACATATAAGCGAGGTCTACATATTTGCCATTTTCGCGAATCTTGTCAACCGCATCGGTGTAAAAGGGGACAGAGTATTCAATGACATAAATGATTTCATTGGATGTATCAAAAAGGAAAAGGGAGGGTTTGTTGGCCTGGATACGTCTGAGGCTGTATACGGGCCCCCTACATATTCAGGGTCGTACCACGGACGAACCTCTCAGTCAAAATCACAAGGATAACGGTGACAGTAATAAAAGTATCGAACCACGGCATTAAGTCGCATAAGATACAGTTTGTGACGAAGCGGGGCAACGGGGCAATGTGTTGGACAGTCCTATTAAATTCCAGTCATGTTTACATTTTAATGCAAGATTACACAGCCGACTTCATCCATGCGAAAGACTCTGCAGTGTTGCTGATCATCTCAACACACTGCACATCAGAGAGCCTTCCCTTGAAAAACCGAAGCTGTGTTGACAGTCAATTCTGCACCGTCCAGCACTACAGAACCATCATCCAAATCAACGCTGACATTGAGATAATTATTAGCAACAGTCAATCATTACTCGTTACTTGTTGGACCGCAAACGGCTAACCATGGATCTCTAATGGCATTTGTACAGATGAACAAACATATTTCCATCTCTGAAGGAAATGTTCAATATAACCTTTCAGATAATAATTATACAAGATATATAACCCCGTCCTGTTTCATGACATCAATCTGTTCAAAATGTGTCGGACTATAATTGTTGATTTACGCCCCTCAATTCGATCTCATAATGGACATGTTTAGCCTCCAACAGTAACTCAACCAATGATTCATATATAAAATTTACAAAATTATCATCACTTGAAAAATCAGTTCAGGAGTCATCGAGTTTCTGCAGAGCTTGGTTTACCCGTGAAAACTCATATTTGTTTGTCTGAAACCGTCATACAACAGAAGACTGACAGTATCGCATGATGTCAATCACTGGATTGTCTGGTCCAGACTCGATTATTTACAGAACATCGTCATATAGCTGGAATATTGCTGAGTGCGGCGTTAAACAACAAACAAACAAACAAAAACAAATATAATTGGTATTCAGCAGCCCATGCTTGTCGTAAGAGGCGACTAACGGGATCGGGTGGTCAGGCTCGCTGACTTGCTTGATGCATGTCATCATATCTCAGTTGCGTAGATCGATGTTCATGATGTCAATCACTGGACTGTCTGTTCCAGATTCGACCATTTACAGACCGCCGTCATATAGCTGGGATATTGCTGGGTTCGGCGTTAAACAACAAACAAACAAATAATTCACGTACTAAATCTGGATGCCTGAGAGCTCATGTCATTTGGACGTACAACAATAGGAAAGAGGGGCCAACTTACCATAGTGACGTTTCGTTCAACTTGCATCTTCTGGAACACCAGTAGCTTTTCCATCTCTAGAAACCTTTCATTTGATGTGAGTCCAAAACGCAGGGACCTTGCCTTAAACGTTATCTTAACGTAACAGAAGGTGATGATGACAATGTGAATAATGTAACACGTCACCAGTGATGATATTGAATAGGAGAAATCTGAGAGCGAAGTCCCCTGCCAGTTTAAGGTGCAGGAAGTTCCGTAGGGTTCCAATGTATAGCTGCTCCAACCAACTAGAGGCAACGACGTCCAGATGAGGGCATGGCCCCAAATTCCACCAATGACGAATTTCATATATTCGACGTTTGTAAGGTAGTCTGAAAAGCAAATATTGCCAGAGAGCAAATATAAGAATGTATGTAATTCCAAATGTATATTATCATTGAAATGAATATGGAAACACGTAAACTAAATTATTGAATAAGAAATCTTAAAATGCACATTATAGTGAGTGAGTATGGTTTTACGCCGCTTTAGTCATATTCCAGCAATATCACGGCGGGGCGACACCTGAGGTTGGCTTCGCACATTGTATCCATGTGGGGAATCGAACCCGGGTCATCGGCGTGACGAGCAAACGCTTTAACCACTGGGCTACCCTACAGCCCCCTGCACATTATAAGATATAGGGTGGCATGTGAGTCTCTTCTGTGTCACTGGGGGGCACGGGTGACCGCGTCGTCTGAGGCACCGCGATTCGGTGTGCAGAGTTGCGTCCCGTTGGCACGCCAGGAATCTGAGATTGTGGGTTCGCCCCGATTATGTTTCTAGGTTTGTCAGCCCTGATTATGTTTCTAGGTTTGTCAGCACCATACACGTGGGTTTCACCGAAGTGGTAAACGTCTGAGACCTGTATCACTTCGGGCTTTCCTCCCACAATGAGCTGACATTACGTGATATAACTGGAATACTGTTAAAAGCGGCGTTAAACACAACTCACTCACCCTGTCACTTCTGTGTAACTGAATTGTCAAACAATTTCAGGTTACCTTAATTTACCTTTATACGTAATGACTTGATTGATATTTGGAATCTTCACATTTTCCTGTATGTATGTCTTACCATCTACTTAATATGTTTTATTGTATATAAAGATATTGATTTTTTAATTAAATGTAAATAAAGATTTCGCTCGTTTTCTAAGTTGTTCAGTTTCAGATTCACAAAATATCTTCAGAATACACACACATGTATGTGTCACGCAAACTAGAACTTGTTTCACGTTAAAAGAGATTGAACGGGTTTATGTTGCTAAGCCGTGAATCATCATTAATTCAGAACCGCCTGTGGATATCAGGTGTAGTCGAGTGTTTTCTTCTATTACTTTGGTTATTATAACAATATCCAATAAAGTGATACGGATACCGTTTGCAAATTAACCGTACATAAACCGACTTAATAGGTCATAAGAATGATACACATTTAAGCGAAGATAGATAAAGGTCATACGACACCAAACAAAATAAAATATACAGTTCGGTCGGGGTACATATGAAGACATGAATGTACGATCAGATGTCAAGAAATTTCATTTTCAAATATATTACTCAAACGGAGTTAGGGAACATCCGATTATTTCGTATTATTATAGTGAATGTCTCATTGAATGACATGGAATAAGTAGTTATATTGTATTAACTGAAATGAACGAACGTTCATTTGTTGAATGTATGCCACTTGTTGATTGTCTGTAGGTTTAACACGAAGTTCTTTTACGTACATGTTTCTGGATTAACATATTGTTTCAATTTGGGGATCGACATGTAACAAGTTTTCTCAGTTGGTGATTTTGTAACATGCAATAGATAGTTTAGAGAGTCTTTAGCGGGAACATTTTTTACCCTTTGAACTATGTAATGTGCAGCATGTCGATATTGGTCCATTTTGCAGGAAATATACTATGCAAACAAAGTAGGGGATAGTTGGAACATATCTTCTGATCTTTATTGTATTGGCAAAAGGAAATGATATGTTCCTTTCTGCTGGGGGGTATGCGATCAGCTCTAAGGGTTGATGTGATGGGGTGGTGGTGCAGAGGTCGGGGATCAGCCAAAGTCACACTTTTCGAGTAAAACTACCTCTGTTGGCCAGACAATCGCCTCTGCTTTATGCAGAGATTTCTATTGGATATGGAAAGGGTTTCTGTCGATTTATTTTTGTTGGAGGAATCTGGTCACAATCCTTGCACGATGAGCCCGTGCATTATCTTCTTGAAAGATGGCACCAAGAGTGGTGCAATGGTGTTGTCCCGATAATATTGCTCTTTGACTCTACCATGGACAACATGGAGCAGTTCGTCAAGTCATTGTGATACCACCCCATACCATTATTGCCCCAGGCCAAAAACGATCATTCTGTGCGACGTTAACGTCCAGATGACGCTCAAGAGGACGTCCCCAAACTCGATTCCTTTGGTCATGAAAGTGTGAACATCGATTCGTCAGAAAACATGACACTAGCCCAACACCACTGACGCCTCTGATTCAAAAGAAGTGCAGTAAGTTGTGGGGTGACATCTGACGGATTAAGAAACATGCAGTGCTCTGGCAACACTATTCTGATGTGTGCCCACCTGCAACATGCGTATGACACGTGAACGTTCAGCACATTACAACGTCGCACGTTCAGTGCTGTTTTTTCCTTATATGTTTATGTTGTAATCATATTACATGTGTTTTATAACGCGTATTCCAAAAACAATATGCGTCTGCTCACAACTAAGTGTGAATGACAATGGTAAATCTGGCATACCAATCGCCCGGGCTGTCCGAGGGTACGTGCTTAATGACTGTCACAATGTTGTGTTCGGGAGCTTGATTTCTTCGGAAATGTTCTTATTGGTGTATTGTGAGCAGTTTCAGCTCAAAACAAAATATCCCCTACTTTTTTGGCATACTATAAGTTTCTCCTTCGTTGTTCACATATACAACAAGTCTTAAGTGGCATACTGGCGGCATCAAATGACAAATGATCAAATAACCATTTCCAAATCGAAATATTGCTGGTGGGCACAATTTCCTGATGAGATAAGCAGGGTTGTGACGAAAACATGTTCCAGTTCAAGATTGATAAAGATATTTAGTGGAATTGAACTTCAAATGGTAAACATGCTCTTTGAATGTCTTGGTTCAACTTGCGAAGCTAGGATCCAGTTTTGTGACATAATGTATAGTTACTTATGATGTCAGAGCAAGATTTTGGCACGGAAACAATAAGTATCCAATATGTAGAACATTACAGAATCCATATGTAATGATCTTTAAGGCAGATCTATGATAGTTTAAAATAGTCAATGTGTGGGTTTATATACGCAATGTGTTAGTACGAATATGCCCTGAACTTGAGTACAGACCAGATATGGAACTTGATTTGAGTGATTCTTTTCGGTGTTTAGATGCGTGATTGGACTGTGTAGTTGATCAGTTCTTTGGTTAGCTGCCACAGTGAAGTCTTTATTATGGTTCCCTAACTAAATATTGCTAATTATTCCTAAAAGAGGATTAAAGCATCTGTCAGTGTCGTGGCACAGATATGGATATCTATGTAAAACGTCCTTATTATGCTTGCTATCTCATCCGTCACACTTCTGAATAATCAGGTTACAGTGAAATGTCATAAGTACGTCCCTACGGCGTTTACAGTCATTGGCATTAATATCAATAGAGACAGATCATTTAATATTTGATAGGGTCGTATGCCAGATATGTTTTCATTCAAAACTATGTCTGAATACATTTTTTTAAAGAAAAACTCCTTGTCACAATGTGACAGGTAATGTCTCTATTTTCTACTGTCTGAAGCATAATTATGTCTCTCAAGAATTTTCGGGGACAATCCCAGCCACGTGAGCTTCCAGAATATCAGATTGTCGGTCCCTTAGTGGGATAAACATGATCAAATCATTCTACTGATGAGGCTACATCCCCCTGCAGGCATGTGACTGAAAATAATGACACACTGGTTGAAGACGGTCCTCTCATAAATATAATATACATGTCTCTGTATCTGGAAGCAGTCCCTTGTCAGACAACCTTTACCATCGTCACATTGAACGTTCCGCAGAATAAATGGTTACATATTCCATCTGCAAACACTGTAACCATCGGTCGTTCATTCCGTGATCATCTCACAACAAGGTTTACATCTTGCTAGGGTTTAGCGTCACTGTTGAATCGAAGAAGCGATGTGCAAACTATGAATCCGCGAGGCGGATTCTGTGAAAAGTCTGCACATTGGTTTTTCGATTCATACTTCAATGGTCAATCCTTATGCAAATTCGACAACGAAACCATGTATTATCTCCAATAGAATAACCAACAACAGTTTTATATATCAAAGCAGACAAAAATGACGAGATTGATAATCATTCCAGGTGTTGGAAAACACACTGTGGCGTGACATGAATCCTGGTGATTGTTTAATTTATGCACGTAACTTGACACGCCTACAAAGTCAGTAGCCAATCAACGGGGAGTAGGATCAAAACTCATTCTCGGACTTCGGTGTCAAAGGGTAGTTTGGCAAACGAACATGCATTTCTCTAAATGTTCCGTGCATGACGATACACGTGAGCAGAAAGGGAATTCCCGCGACTGTAATATTGTGATTCCCCGACATTCCGTAGTGGTAAAAGTAGTCCGCTTCGGTGGGCGTGGCTTACTTTTTTATATTCATTAGGAAATTAATGCAATAAACGTGACCAATTCAGCTAATCAGAATGTAGGAATTACAATGAACACAACGAAAATTTAATTATATATATATGAACAGGTTGAGCATTTTATACAGCTTACCTTTGGCATGTGTGTGTTTGTGTGTGTGTGTAAACTCATTTGTACTTATAGCACTGGTGTTGTGTACACGTCAAGGATATGAATAGCGTTATATGGTTTCCTTAAAACATTAGTGATGAATTTATTACTCACTATATTGTGGCTTGCAGACGAAGGTGTATCTGAAGATGGCGATGACGAGCATAGTGTTGATGCTGACCATGCTGAGCAAGAAGATGATGTAAGCAGAGAAGATGCAGCCAAATTCGCCAAACAACCATCTGAAACAAGAGGGGACACACCATGTACAGGGATATGTACAGACGACTTAGTCAAACACATGTGCACAGATCAGTACTAATCACGTTGCTAACAGGCCTGGTTGATAAAACTGCACATGATGACCAGAATTTGTATTCTGGATATTTGTACTTTTGTTTGTTGTTTAACGCTGCACTCAGCAATATTCCAGCTATATGACGGCGGTCTGTGAATAATCGAGTCCAGCAGTGATTGACATCATAATCATCTATCCACGCAATGGGGATACGATGACATGCATCAACCAAGTCCGCGAGCCTGAGCACCCGATTCCGTTAGTCGCCTCATACGACACGCATTTATTCTCTACCCGGATCTTCACGGGTCACTACTACTACTACTACTACTACTACTACTACTACTACTACTACTACTACTACTACTACTACTACTACTGCCACTAATAATAATAATAATAATAATAATAATAATAATAATAATAATAAAAATAATAATATCCAACATCCTTTAAAAAACATCATCATTATTACTCACTATATGTATTTGAGAAAGAGTACATACATGTCGGTTGTAAATCAGTAAATATGTATTTGAGAAAGAGCACATACAAGTTGGTTGTAAATCAGTAAATATGTATTTGAGAAAGAGCACATACAAGTTGGATGTAAATCAGTAAATATGTATTTGAGAAAGAGTACATACAAGTTGGTTGTAAATCAGTAAATATGTATTTGAGAAAGAGCACATACAAGTTGGTTGTAAATCAGTAAATATGTATTTGATAAAGAGTACATACAAGTTGGTTGTAAATCAGTAAATATGCATTTGAGAAAGAGTACATACAAGTCTGTTGTAAATCAGTCGATAAAACTAAACTTCGATAATAATACACCTAAAATCATGTTTATATACTCAAAATATGACAATTAATGAACCGCCTTAAGTCGATGATTATGTTGCTATCTTATACTAGATATACGAAATCGTCAGTGTTGACAATCCCCAGTCTGAACAATACATGTCGAAAAAGTAGAAGTCTAGGTTATCACCTTTTCCTTTAGGATAAAAACATCAAGTGGGTTGTTTTAATTTGTGGGTGCCATTGAGTATTTGAAGCCCAGGCATTGCTATTGAAACCGGCAGCGACTGGTTGTGTATAGGTGTACATCAGGACGCGGCTTTAGAATATCTTTGTTAATATCTGAATTTAGATCACCTAGAATAATAACATCGCCGATTTCACTAAAATGGTCGTATGCATCTATAAGTTCATTTAGCGCATCGACATACACAGAGTGAAGTACATTAGTAGAAGGAAAGCGGCTTGTTAATACACAAGTTGTGTCAAAACAGGGAGATTTTACAGTTACCCCAACAATCAATTGACTTTTGAAATTAAGCTTTTGTATTTTCCATTTTGAGTGCTTGTTTGCAAGGATAGCAATCCCACCAGATCCTCGTATGTAGTTTATATTATTTTCACATTTATAGTGAGTGAGTGTGTTGGGTTTAACGCCGCTTTTTAACATTATTCCAGTTATATCACGGCATGTAAGCTTAATGTGGGAGGAAAGCCCAAAGTGATTCAGGTCTCAGACGTGTACCACTTCGGTGAAACCCACGAGCACGGGTATGGTGCTGACAAACCTAGAAACATAATCGGGGCGAACATGGGATTCGAACCCACAACCATAGGTTTCTGGTGTGTCCAAGAATCGCGGCGCCTTAGACGACTGGGCCACCCGTGCCCCCCACAACAGAGAGTATATATGTTGATTCCATTGTTTGTCATCTTAACAATCACATATGGTTCTGGGCACCTACACTTCCCCAAATGCCATCATAGTCGACAAGAAACGCGTGTACGTCGTATGGCTACCTAATACGTTTCGTTAATCAGATTACATGTCAACCGACTGTGAAAGAGTTTCCATTATTGCCAAAACCAGTTTGTAGACGACTGCATCAGCTGTGCTATGTGTTAACACAATATATACATCATCAGCACGTAAACCATGAACCAGACAGTACGAAGCAGACATTATGTGCACGGCATGGTGTAAATAGATTATCGGGAGAAGTATTTGATGCTGACAAGAACGGTTTATGAATAATTTGTCACAATGACAGGTTTTACCTACATGCAACTGGATAGATGGACACAGGACCCACATCCAATTATTTCTACACAGTATTTTATTTACAACGTGATCTTATATTTAAGCTGCATTGGACCGATATCTTGGACGGATGTTGTGGCTGTGTCATCAATGTCCTCTCAAAATTATATTTAGTGGCACCGTTTTCGAGAGTGTACATGAATGAACATACACCACGATAACATCAATCAAACTTAAAATCCCAAAGCAAATTATTCGACTTTTGTTGGCCAAAACATCCCAAATGTGAACAATAACATTCCGTATGTTGATCTCTAGCAAATACGCTGTATGTAGATTACCGTTATCCGTTCTTATATCGATGGTAATCCTGTCCTTCCTTTAATGGTGCATGGAATAATGGAATAGGTCCCCGGATCCTATTTTACTGGTTTGCTGATTCCCGGGGTAAGATTTAAGAGGAACATAGATATGTAGCAATAGACCCATTTTGATCAGACTTGGCCAACTAATGACTACACTGATTCCCGGGGTAAGGTTTAAGAGGAACATAGATATGTAGCAATAGACCCATTTTGATCAGACTTGGCCAACTAATGACTACACTGATTCCCGGGGTAAGGTTTAAGAGGAACATAGATATGTAGCAATAGACCCATTTTGATCAGACTTGGCCAACTAATGACTACACTGATTCCCGGGGTAAGGTTTAAGAGGAACATAGATATGTAGCAATAGACCCATTTTGATCAGACTTGGCCAACTAATGACTACACTGATTCCCGGGGTAAGGTTTAAGAGGAACATAGATATGTAGCAATAGACCCATTTTGATCAGACTTGGCCAACTAATGACTACACTGATTCCCGGGGTAAGGTTTAAGAGGAACATAGATATGTAGCAATAGACCCATTTTGATCAGACTTGGCCAACTAATGACTACACTGATTCCCGGGGTAAGGTTTAAGAGGAACATAGATATGTAGCAATAGACCCATTTTGATCAGACTTGGCCAACTAATGACTACACTGATTCCCGGGGTAAGGTTTAAGAGGAACATAGATATGTAGCAATAGACCCATTTTGATCAGACTTGGCCAACTAATGACTACACTGATTCCCGGGGTAAGGTTTAAGAGGAACATAGATATGTAGCAATAGACCCATTTTGATCAAACTTGGCCAACTAATGACTACACTGATTGCACCTCACTCCTTGTACCAGCATTATGTCTGGGATAACACCGGATTGGGAAATCAACCATCACATGACAAACACGACATTAAAGCCGAGTTTTCACTTCTTCAGTATGGGGTCGTAGTGTTAACATGCATTTCTTTTGATTGTACAGCGAGGATACCGGCGCTTCGAGTAACCAACTGTAGGATGTGTTTGTTTGTTGTTGAACGCCGTACTCCAGCTATAGCATCTTAAAAATAGAAATACTACACTAAGTCTTGTTCTTATGAGACGAACTCGTGAACTTTAAACGGCCTCTGATCTCCCTTTCTCTCGGTCACATACCACAGTACGTGCACACGTTTCGTAAAAATGGTATCTTACGAGAATGAGTTTAGTATTCTTTATTTCTGAGATGCTTCACAAAAAGATCAAAAGGGCAATTATAATTTATCCCGCGATATAGTAGGCTTTTTAAGCTCTGTCACTACATCAGAATCAATTATCGATCGATGAAGCAAATTCTTCAACGGGAACACATGTCGAATAATTGAATATCATATGGCAAGATGATGTCAACCATCTGCCATAACGTTTCATTCCATCCGTCATCCGACCGCCTCCGTGGTCTAGTGGTAGAACGTCCGCCCGGAGAGCGGAAGGTACGAGGTTCGATCCCTGGCCGCGTCATACCAAAAGACGTTAAAAGATGGTACTTGTTGTTACCCAGGCGCTCGGCATTAAGGTGCTAAAACAAGGACTGGTCGGCTCGGAGTCAGTATACTGTGTCTGAGTGGGGTATTCATGTTAAATTGCGGCATGGTATCTCAGTGAGCTAGCACTATAAATCGGCATCAGTCCGGACTAGTACAAGCAGCCACACAAACACACACACGGGTATGCACGTCGCTATATAAGTGCAATAACCTTGGACGCGACGTTAAACCCCATTTCACCTCACCTCACCTCACCATCCGTCATCCACAGAAATATACCATTCGAATCCTTTGCTTTTTTCATTACTGAAATTTTCGTCTTTTAATTCAGTTCCATGAAATATTTCTTAACATTCGCTTATAGATTTCATTCCGCCTGTTGTACAAGTGTAATTCTGATTAATCAAGTCATTCAGAAGCTGGGAAAAGATGGAGACATGAAACGGTTTGGAGAACATCTGTATATGCTTGTAGCAACGTTTCATGGCCACTTCTTGTCCTTCATTGAAGTTCATTCACCCGAAGAAGAGCAAGAAATAACCCTGAAATGTGGCTACAAATACTGTTTAATATTCCAGCAGTATTAAAGATACGAAATAAGGAATCACGCACTGTTCCCGTGTAGAGGATTGAACCAGGGCGTCAGCGTGTCGAACTGTCTTTTGAACCACTGACTACCCCACATTCCTTATTATTCGCATTGACAACAACGGGAATGACTAAGCCATGAATTTAAATTGGACATCGATCTATCCTGATTTTCCCTTTTTATCCTTTAGAATGTGTAAGTTACGTTTTTAAGCCGCATGGCAATATTTAAGCTATATCGGGTTATCATTTTGAGACGAGGCATATAAGTAGGTTCTGTAGTATTGTCTAGATTCAAATTTCATTGTATCGTATTCCAGGGTTCTAAATATGGAGATCCATGGGATTTCATAAACTACTCTGTCCATTTGTGTGCTCTACACATTGCAGATACAGATGTACTGACCTTTCAGCGAATCCAGACGCCGCTGTCATGGGATAGGCTATGATGCCGACACAGAGGTCCGCCAGGGCTAGGTTGAGGATGAGGTGGTTGAAACTCTTGCATAGCATCCGCTTCATCAAAACAACCAGAATCACACAGGTGTTTCCAAACAACGCCACCACACCTGGGTAATACAAATGAGATACATCAAATTAAAGTATTTCTTCCTAACACTTCAAAAGACGTAACTTGATATCTAACAAGCTAATAGAATGGTAGGTGGGTGGGGGAATGTGTAGATAGATATCAAAATGATTGATGGACAGATATATGCCGGACAGGCAGACAATAGTATATAAAGCGACAGATCACAATATAAAAAAATAATAGATAGATAGATTGCAATATACAAAGTGTTTTTCAGCAAATCGTCGTGAGAGGCCTTTAACAGTAACGGGTGGTCAGGCTCGCTGACGTGGTTGATGCATGTCATCGTATCCCAATTGCGTACCTGCAGATTGATGTTCATGATTTCAATCACTGGATTTTCTTATTCAGAATCGATGAAGTCATATGACATTTTAGCTACCTTAATAATTGATTTCAGACTATAATCTACAATAAAACGTCATTTTATCCACAATGAAAAAAATCATGTCAGGTACGTATGTTTTAATTAATCACGGGACTAATTTCCTGTAAAATCTCAATGGTCGGGACATTTCGAACGTTAAATCTTTGTTTATATCTGGAGGGAATACATTTCCAAACGTAAGTCTTCACCTCCTGAAGTCTTCGCCTCCGTGGTCTAGTGGTAGAGCGTCCGCCCGGAGAGCGGAAGGTCCGGGGTTCGATCCCCGGCAGCGTCATACCAAAAGACGTTAAAAGATGGTACTTGTTGTTACCCTGTCTGGCGCTCGGCATTAGGGGCTAAACAAGGACTGGTCGGCTCGGAGTCAGTATACTGTGTCTGAGTGGGATATTCATGTTAAACTGCGACACGGTATCTCAGTGAGCTAGCACTATAAATCGGCATTAGTCCGGACTAGTACAAGCAGCCACACACACACACGTGAATACACGTCGCTATATAAGTGCAATAATCTTGGACGCGACGTTAAACCCAATTTCACCTCACCTCACCTCACCTCACCTCCTGAACACCCAACACACAACTTCCCCTATAATCATCATCACATCTGTCACTTCTGTCACAAGACACCAATTATCTGTCATTACATTAGAAAAATAAAAGATGCTTCCTACAACAACATGCATGGCTGTCCCTCCTGAACAAGAACACAAATAACCACAAACGAAAATATCTTGCTGCCAATTATTTTGGCAAATAAATGGATATGTTTCAAAACCTCTCTAAATAAAAGCGCCACAACTGATTCCATAATCACAATTAATCTCTGCCATGTGCATTGTACTTTTATATCAAAAGTATGTGTTTACATGTTGGATTCAATACAAAATAGTTATGACACCAGGTTTTCGCAAAGAAACTTGCGAAAGAATCCATACGAAAACACTATTACATTAATAAACGTATAAATCCAACTCACCCAAAACTGTCAAATATATTCCAGTGGCCATGTAACCTTGTGAGGAAAGCTTTTCTGTGATGACCACCTGAGAACTGTTGAAGCTTCCCTCGCCGTTCATCTTGAAGATTCATATGACACTCTGCTGCCCGTCTTTCTGCAATTATAGGAGTACACATCAATGTTGTGTATGTAGGCCGTGAATAGCGTGGGTTGTGACCCAGTCTTGTATAAGTGGATTTCAAGGTTAAGGTTAGGTTGTCGCCTGCTGTCTATACCGTATTTACCATAAAAATCTGCATTACTGAGGGATGTTAAAATAATGAATAGGGAGTATGTATAAGAGGCAGTGGGTACGATTTGGATTTATCACTAAAACAGCTAAAGAACCGCCGTCTCGTCATTATTGAGTGAATTTGACTGCGGAGCTGGAATGCATTCAAAGGGGTGTGATTACGCCATTCATTATTGCGCGTGTTAATCCCAGACAAACCGATTTGTAGGCTGACGGGTTACGCAAAGAAGCGAGTGGTGACAATGTGATTCACTCTGATCACGATCGGTCATTTCTCCTGAAAATAGACCTCCGTAGTCCCTCGTAGCCATGTAGAGCCGGGACTTACAAGACCTGTAGACCTCGCCAGCATATGATGTAAACATCCTAGTTTGCAGTCCACAGCCATGGACACCAGAGAACCGCTTCTTTGTACCCCAGTCTGTATTGTTTAAGTTCAAAATTCACTCGTATACTCTTTGGGGCAAATACAATTAAGACCATGATAGCCATGATAACACACAAAAATGTGTATCCTCGAGCGTGTTTTGTATGTATGTATGTATGTAGGTATGTATGTAGGTAGGTATGTAGGTAGGTAGGTAGGTAGGTAGGTAGGTAGGTATAAAAAAATCATTTACTCAGGTATATAAGCAATAAATATACAAAAATGTCCAGATATTGTTCTTCTCAAAACTCCTTTATGCGCCCAAAGTCAACGGCTTTTCGGGTGTAATGAAATGTTTAAAGTTCATTGCGTTTAATAATGTGTCTTTGAGCGTTTGGTTCCAAGAAAACAATATGCGTCTGCTCAGAACCGAGTCTGAGTGGTAATGGTAAATCTGCCTTCCCACCCTGCTGTCGGAGGTCACGTGCTTCATGACTGTCACAATGCTGTGTTTGGGATCTTGGTTTCTTCGGAAATGATCTTGCCACATTTATCCCTTAATTACATAGCCAGATATTGGTGCATTTTCCTGTAGTTTTACCTGACAAGAATCCCCTACTTATTTGGCAGTGTGCACATCCAAAGGATGAACTGTAGTGGTGCGTAGTCAACACCCAAAGACTTCTACATAATAATACCTAGTTCCCATCACTATATGGCTGAAATATTGCTGATGCGATGTAAAATTTAACTCACTCACTCACTTCTTCTACATAGTTTTACTTTTTAAAGTATAAGTTGACTTAACCCTTTTATAAATTAAAAAACAACTCGCATAATACCCAACACAATGGGAATCTTAGACAGTTTAACTTTGAAAATCAAGAAATTTCAGCACAAATTTACATTCCAAACATAGTAGGTGGCGTGTGGTTGCAGATTCATTTCCTAACCTAGTCTTCAATGAACCAATTTGTTTTACACAACATCACCCGACCACAGATTACTTTTTACAAGACCGCCTCCGTGGTCTTGTGGTAGAGCGTCCGCCCGGAGAGCGGAAGGTACGAGGTTCGATCCCGGGCCGCGTCATACAAAAAGACGTTAAAAGATTGTACTTGTTGTTACCCTGTCTGGCGCTCGGCATTAAGGGGCTTAAACAAGGACTGGTCGGCTCGGAGTCAATATACTGTGTCTGAGTGGGGTATTCATGTTAAAGTGCGGCATGGTATCTCAGTGAGCTAGCACTATAAATCGGCATCAGTCCGGACTAGTACAAGCAGCCACACACACACATACACGTGCATGCACGTCGCTATATAAGTGCAATAATCTTGGACGCGACGTTAAACCCAATTTCACCTCACCTCACTTTTTACAAACAGTTGCATGAATGAGTAAGGGTCAAATAGACATAATCAATTTAACAGCGCTTTCAGTTTTCAATTACATAATAAACAAACTCTGTTTACTTTCTTGTGCCCATCGGTTTCTGTATCTAGACGTATCATGACCAATCAAAGTATGCTCCAAAATCAAGTTATTTTTCAAAGCCATATATATTTCTTACAATCAATATATCTCTTTGACCTGAATGTATCAATTGAAAGTCATATATTCTAACATTAATACGATCCCATAAAAAGACAATTTACAATAAATACTTCGTATTGCCAACAAAACTGTAGTTACAGTAGCTGTGCCTATTACCTGGCAACGTAATTAAAGCAGTGTCTTCCTTTAGGATAACTACAATCTCAACGTTTTTGCACAGAACAGTGATCGCCTATAACGATACCTCATTGACTGATACGTGGGCAGCGTCTTCATGTGCAAGTTCAAGTTCAAGTGGAGATTCATAGATATCAGCATTCAATATGTCAGACCTCACCCTCCCACATCTTGGCAAATACATCCTTAATACTCCTTTACTCTTGTGATATCTTGCGTAAAAGGTATTTCCAGTATGGTGGCCAATGCTTCAAGGCGATACGTTGATGAGGCGTTGTTTTTGACATTTAGAGAATGGCAGCCAGCGCTCTCAGTAATACCATATATGGCTATAAGAGGGCATAGGGATGTCGGTCCTTATTGGGTTATAGGATGAATCGCAGAATTACGAAAGGTTTCCAATTTAAATGTGTCACATTGTAAATAATGATGATGAATTGTTTATATGTCATGACACTAGTTAAACTACAAACCCACGTTATTTGGAAATATACAATTGAGATGTATGTTCATTAAGAAATCTTATTATGTAAACCCATCAGTATTCAAATGTTGTCAGTTATTTACATTTAATAATATTTGTTGCCAAAGAAATTTAGACAAATATGTCTGTGAATCTTTAAAATTAAGAAAAAAAGAAGAAAAAAAAGTAAAATATTTATTGCCTATCCTCGCTGAATGTTCTGAACTTTATTCTGTAGAAATAACAACATGCTGTAATTATAACTATGTCCATTAAGTCAAGTATCTTGTGTTCATGGCCAGAGGCACAAAAAAGCTTGAGTCAAAATAAAGTCTGTCTCTTACTCTTTACTTTACTTCACTTCATTTTCAGTACTTGTGGGCTACGGTCCTTTTTGTACAGACGAAATACAATTAAGGTGCAAACAGTATAAGATATAATACACATTTCTTTGTTTTTTTAACATAATTGAACATTATACATGTTGGAGTATGTGTCTTCTTACAGCATTGGCATAAAACAAGGACTTTGCTGTATTCATATTGATAATAGGGTCTTGCGGTGACAGAAGTGTATTAAACTTCAGAATATTTGGAAAGATGTAAAATTTAGATTTTATGTAACTTTGCCTGAGATGGCTATAAGCTGGACAAATTAACAAAAAGTGATATTCATTTTCGATATGAAGTCTGTCTCTTACCCATTGCGACCTAACCCAATTGTAGGCGGAATACACTGGTGTTGAGTTTTGTGATATCGAAAATAAATAAGAGCCGAAACGTGAATTTTACTTTTAAAAATGTCAATAACTGAAGATAATCGCTTGAATGTGATTAAACGAATACACGTACATATATATTTTGTCAAAAGATTTGTGTGTCATGATATGCCTTTATTAGGAGGGTTTGTAATATATTTACCTGGACAATATAACGGAACCAATAACATCAACAATGACTTTGCAAATAATTCCACTAAAGCACTGCTTCGATGACAATATATATTTATATATATAGAGAGAGAGAACAATGAAAGCGCTGACACCATTCGCACAGAAGTACGACACAACAGCGCGAGGTCCACTTCCTAGAAGATCAATATTTTCCACTGTCAACATTTTGGCCTGGCGATAATTGACAGCTCTGTGGAACGTGAGATTCCTGGAGTACATCTTTATTCCTATTTTGCTAAATACCGTGGACCCATTCGCAACCATTGGTTCGTTTCGAGCCAGATGCGGAATAGTTTTGTTTTTTTGTTTAACACCACACTCTCCGCTTTGTTCCCGACTCCAGCGGAAGCATTGAACGGTTAAATAGTTGCATTGTTATCTTTGCTGATAATGTGTAGTTCGTTATTGTGGATCAATAATGTTCGGTTTTTTTATCATTATATACATTGCTTGGATTCCAATAACTAATTTTTTTTTTTTTTAAATTTTCAGTGTTGAATACCATGTGTTTGTGAATGTAACCGATTCAATTTCAAGTTCGATTTCCCAAACTTTCGTGTCCTTTGCGGTGATAACTGAAATTAAAACAACTAAAAAACCGTAAACTCCCACTCACTTTATAAATAGCACAGCGGCTATAGGATTAAGTCCACAAAAGTACAGGCCAGAATCATGGTTAACATTTATCAATTTTCTCAATTTTTCACATACCAACCTCGTACTATCTACAGACGTTTTAACAGGACTTATGTACACTCAAGCATAGGGTCCGGGTTAGAATTGGTCATCCGCAACCCATTCTTGTCGTTTGAGGCGACTAACATGATCGGATGGTCAGGCCCACTGACTTGGTTGATGCATGTTATGGTATCCTAATTGCGTGGATCGATGCTCATGATGTCAATCTCTGGATTGTCTGGTCCAGACTCGATTATTTACAGACCGCCGTCATATAGCTGGAATATTGCCGAGTGCGGCGTTAAACAACAAACAAACAAACAGACTTCCAGCATTGACAATTGCCTTTTGAGCAGGTAAATTTATATTACCAATGTACAGAAGTTTAGGCGACACTGATTTGTTATTAAATCCAAAAGTTAGGACAGCACTTTTGATCATATTGTATTTCAGCTGCCACTTAGTAGCATTCGTTTCTGCAACGTTTAGGAGAATTTGAAGACATGTTGGGTTACAGCTGATCAAGGTCGTGTCATCTGCTAACAGTATTCCTGAGCATCGTCCCCATGGGCGAAATAGTCCACAACCGGAATTGCTTAGCTCATGAAGTAAATCGTGGCTATAAAGAGTAAAGTAAATCGTGGCTATAAAGAGTAAAGATCAATGCTGAT